TATTTGAATTCGTTTTTTTTTTTTTTTGAATGTAGAAAATCTGATGTTAATTTAATTCTTTTTTCGTTATGCACGGCAAAAAATATTTAGCTGGATGAACTACAGATTTCACTTTAGTAGCGAAATTTTTCAGTGCTTCAATTAATACTTTCGTTATTCTAGAGAAACTTATCGCTATTTCAAGTAAAACTTTTTTCATTGTGTAATAATTATTATTTCTTTGAAAAGTATTTAATTTAAAATGGCTTTATAAAATAAGCAATGCAAAAGATGACCCAGATACTAATTGTAATTGTTCTAGCCATAGTTTAAGTCTAGTAATGTAAATTGTATTTAAATTGAGACCATTGAGTGAAATTATTTAAATTTTAGTTAGTTAAATCTCTTTGTTAGGTTATAATAATTATTTCTTTAAAATTTTTTAAATTGTTTAAAATAAGCAGCCCCATACAACATTCCCGCGCGCTTGCGCGCGGATAGTTTGGCTAGTTTTAGAAAATAATTGAATATTTTTATAACAGAAATTTTAGGAATTAATTAAATTTTAAAAGGTTTTTAAATTAAATTCCTTGACAATTTAAGGTCATGTTATTCAGTGGTCACGTGTTCCCATAGTAAAGTATATGGAGCACGTGACCACTGAATAACATGACCTTAAGGGAATCAAAAGTATAAAAACATTTAAATTTTTATTTTGAAAAATTATTAACTACATTACATTTCTTTAAAAATTCTTAAAGTTTTTTAATAAATTTATTCAAAAGTTCTAAAAGAAAAAATAATTTAATTTTAGAAGAATTACCTTGCAATTTTTAGAAATAATTAAATTTCAAAAGTTTATTCATTGAAATTATATTAAATTTTAATTCCTTTGGAAAAATAAATAAGAATAAGTTTTTAAATTTTTGTTTAATAGAAAGTATTGAAGTTATGAATAATTTAATTCAGAATTTCTGAAAAATTGTTGTATGAAAAAATGTAATCACATTTTTTTTTTAAATAATTGTATTTCCGAAAATAATTTTGAAAAATTGAAACTTTTGTCGAATTTCATTCAAATAAATTTTATATTTTAATATGAATTTTATTTGTTTACTTTTGAAAATTATTTTGAAATATAATCGTATTTTTGATGAATTATAATTAACAACGGAAAAGAATATTTTTGCGCGCGTATAGTTTTGCTAGTCATAAAATAATGGTTAATAAATATTAATATTACAATAATATCTAAAATAATTTTTGTATTTCATTTAAAAAGTATAATATTTTCTCAGTGAACTGAAATTTTAATTTCAAGAATCATTCCCCACGAAAAAAAAAATGATTCAACTATTAGTGTTGAGCACGTGTTGCTCGAAATCTATTTCTAGGAAAGCAATCAAGTCAATTAAATCATTGGCCAGCGAGGAAAATGTGTAAAAGAAAGATGGAGCATTGGACACCTCAATGATCAGAGAGTAACATAAATTGTGAGCTTAAGTGGCCTCTGTAATCATTCATTATATTTATACGGTGCACACACGTTCAAGGTAATAACTACTATCCTCCCGACATAATTACACCCCAAGATGGATATATTTACGAGTAAAGAATATAACAAGTATGTTCCTCTTTTCTTTCGACATCTGTGGAATGACCCAAGGATCCTTTCAGAGATGAGAGAGAGAGAGAAAAAAAAAAAAAGAAAAGAAAAAAAAGTTGAGTCTTTGGACTTGCACGGAATGCGGGTATATGCGGCGTTCATTTCCATCATTTCGCATTACGCGGCGCGCACTCACCCGCCAATTGTCTTTATATCCGTCTCTTGAGAAAGTAGCCATTTCGACCACATAAGAAGCTGCGATAACCGATTTAACCAAACGCCTCTGTTATTACCGTCGAAAATCTCATTATCACGGGTTATTGCGCCATGTGCATTTCATTTCTCTTACGGAATGGATTCTTTTTTCCCTCCATTATATATATATATATATATTTTTACGGATTTAATAAGCGACAACGTTCAAAAAAAAGATGTACTCAATTTTCGACGACACTGTATTTTTAATATTATTTCTCGTTTCTTGTATGTACCTTGTTCTCATTATTTCAATGCGATTATTGAACATTATTTTTTTGAGAATGATTATCATGCACTCGTTTGTAACAAATGGCGTGAATTTTCTGCTTTCGCTGCTAATTTCGACTGTGTTAATTTTTATTATTAATTTTCTTTAGATATTTTTTACTTATTTATTTCTTATTTTGTATTTTCAAAAATAAACGGGACAAACACTGTCATTCCTTTTTTTATTTATTTTATTTAATAATAATAGTGCCCGTAAATGAATAAATAAATAAATAATAAATTAATTATTAATTATTATTATTAATTAACTATAATAATCGTCTTATTCTTTTTTCTTTCTTTCATTCTGTCCACACCTGAAGTTAGTTTTTGTGTATTCTTTTGTTTTTTTTTCTTTAAAAAAAATTTGTTTTGACAAATCGAAAATATGCAGGTATTTTTTCTCAATTCATAATAAAATAATATTAGAAATTAAAAAATTTTTGGAAAAAAAAACCATTACATATTCCCGTTTCATAATATTATTGTAGAAAATTTTCAATTTTCATAAGGGAATAATTTACATTATTTCAATTTCTTAATTACAATTGTTTTAATAAATTTCAAAGTTTTTTAAAAATAAAATAAAAAAATGTTTATAAATTCTGTTTCTGTCAATTACAAATTTTAATTGAAAATGAAAATTTTTGAATTTTTAGAAAATAAAGGAAAAAATTCTACTCAAAAAAAAAATGTTCTGTTACATTTATTTACAAATTTCTTCAATTGCAAAATTATTCAAAAACATCAATAACTTCTTTTTTAAATAAATATTTAATTATTATTATTGTTCCACAAGAATTAAGACATTCAAAAATTCCAAATTCAAATCTTCTTGAAATTTAAAAAAAAAAATTTCTTTAAATAATTGAATTCTTTTTGGAAAATTTTATTAAAAATAATTTAAATGAGAAAAATTTTTGAAAATAATTGAAATTAGGAAAAGAATTTTATTTTCAATTTTAAAAGTAATTGAACTTTGGGGAAGAATATTGTTATTTACAAAGATAATTGGGATTTTGACGAGAATTTTTTTTAATAAAAAAAATTGATGTATGAATAATTAATTATTAATTACTATTTATTAAATGAATTGTTAATGCTTTTAAAGAATTTCTTTATGTTTTTGAAAATAATGGAGTTCTTTCAATAATTTTAATTAAAAATTGTGAAAGTAATTTTAATTTTATGAAGAATTTCTTTCATGGATTAAAATAATCGTGTTTGTTAATAATTGTAATTAAGCATTTTATTATTGAATTTTATTAAAACTTCTTAATTTTTTTGAGAAATTTTATTAAAATTGTATTTAAAAAAAATATAATTGAATTCTCGAGAAAAATTTCATTATTTATGAAAATAATTAAATTTTTCCAATGAATTTCTTTATATTTTTGAAAATAATGGAGTTCTTTAAATAATTTTAATTGAAAGTTTTGAAAGTAATTGAATTTTTGTAAAAAATTTGATTCAAGTTTTTTAAATAATCATGTTTGTTAATAATTGTATTTAAACAGTTAATTATTGAATTTTATTAGAATTTTTTCGAAATCATTGTATTTTTCCCAGAATTTTATTACAATTCATTAATAAAATAATTGAATTCTTTCGGAGAATTGATACTATTATAAAGGTTTTGACACTATAATTGAATTTTTTCGAGAAATTTCTTTAATTTTATAAAAATAATCGATAAGCTTCGAATTTTAATATTAAAATTGATTGAAAATTAATTTAAAATTAATTTAAAATCATTAAATTCTTAAGAATAATTTTATTAAAAAAATACAAAAAAAATTGAATTCCTTAGAAGATTTTTTTCAATATTTTTGAATTTTTTCGAGAAATTTTATTAAAATTGTAAGATTTTCTTTATGTTTTTGAAAATAATTGAATTTTAAGAAGAGCTTCTTTCAACTTTTTAAAATAATCTTGTCTGTTAATATAATTGTAATTAAAAATTTGCTTATTGAATTTCATTAATTTTTTTTTGTAAATAATTCATGCGAAGAAATAGTCTATATCTTTTTTTCTAATTATTATTAAAACAAATTTAATTTCCATGGAAATTTCCTAAAAAAATTTGCAGAATAATTGAACTTTTTAGAAAAATAATAATAATTAAATATTTTCTTCTTTATTATCTTTGAGAAAATAAAATATTAAAGTGAACATTCTAATAAAATAAAATTGTAACCTACTTGAAAAAAAATTCACAATACTTTATCACAAATTCTTTAATTTCCGGTCGACAAAAAAAATATTAATGATGTGACTGTAAAATTTTATCACCTTGCTCTACTATTACAGACACACTTATCTTATGTCTACATTTGCAAATGAAGACTTTTGAGTTTTCTTCAAAATTCTTCATTGTTAGTATCATTTCAATTTTCTTTCGAGACGTAAACCAATTTCTAACAGTTTATAAATATAAACTCTGTGAGTAATGTAATATAAACTTTAAATGTTTAAATAATTAATTAATTTTTCAAATAGATTTTTATTTTCAAAAATAAAACATAATTATTCACATACAAATTGTTTAAATGTAAATAAATTTTCATTCATTCTTGTTATGTAAATTCATAATAATAAATATGAAAAAATAATTCGAAAATAAAAAATAATTAATAATAATAAAAATAATAATGTACAAAAATACTAATAATAATAATGATAATATAAAAATATTGTGATTGTAAAAAAGTGTAATGGATTTTTTTTTGGCATCGCAATTTATCTGCAGATGGCAATTAACGATAACTTTTAGAATTAATAATTCTTAGAAAATCTATAGATTATCGAAAAAAATTGTGGAATTTCGATTACAATTAATGAAAGATAATTGATAAGGTTGTGTGATAAATATTCAAACGCAAACTGATAACATACCATTCTCGTAGAAAGTTTATGTTTAAACGGTTGAATAGAAGAACAAAAGCATTAAAAAAAAAATTTAAGTGCAATTAAATAAAATCCAAAAAACTATGAGTAAAATTTTTTTTATTTCTCTCGTGTGTTATTTTGTGTTAATTTTAGTTCAAGGTGAGTGTTTTCGAGTTTCGTAATCTTTTCTCCTTCAGTGATAACGTATACGTGAAATTTCGTAAGGGACTTATTAATAATTAATTTATTAATATATCAGTTTATTAATTTTATTAATAATTAATAATAATTAATTTATACTCAGTTTTCTCCTTTTTCTTAATTTACTAAAAATTACTGCTTTATAGAGTCTGCCTTGCAGACAATTTTGCCTATAATTATCATAATTATGTTTAAAATTCTATTATATGTAAATAATTTTTGTATTATGATGCTAATCACGGTATAATAAATATTTAATTCTGCTAATCGTCATGTCCTTGCTTCTGATTATATAAACATAATAAAAAATAGATTATTATATTCTAAAATAACTATAATTAGGTAATTCAATATTTTTTTTTTTTTTTTTTTTTTAATAATTTAATAAAAAAAAATAATTAATTAATAATTTAATAATTAGGTAAATAATTTGAGTTATGATTTCTGTGATAACTACAATGTGATTTTACAATTCCTCGTGACTCACTAAAATCACAATTATAATTAATCATATCAGAATCATAATTTACTTTGAGATTATATTTAACTACGTAACAGTTCATTCGAATAATAATATTAAATATTGTTATAATTAATTATTTTAATAATATTTATTTTTATTATAATATTAATATTATTTTTTTTATAACTGTAGGAAAGTGATAGTCCCATATATTTTGTTAAATAATTGTTAAATGAATTATAGTTATAATAAAGTAATAGTAATAATATGATTAATAATAATTGCTTGATCGATCAAATAATGATTGATGATTATTAATCATTATTGGATTAATAATAGTTGATAAATAAAAATTTTTTTTTTGAACAATTATTAAAATTTTTATTATTACATACGATTAGCATTTTTTAATTAACTGGGTGCAAAAATTTTGATTTGCAAAAAAATTCTAAGTAAAATTGCATTTCAGTCTTTGTAATAAGTTGTCAAAGTCTACTGGGTACAGGATCGTATCGATCATTCTGTTATTGCGCGAGACAGACCCTTCAATCAAATTTTTATTAGCTTCCAATATTGTATACAAGTGTAACACGAAAAACATTCACTTGATTGACACGTTACCTCAAAAAAAATAAAATAATAATAATAATAATAATAAATTGAAATAAAATAAAAAAATCCAAATGAGTCGAAATAACGGATCAAATATTTTCAAATTATTACTAATAATAATTATTACTAATATAATATTATTAATATTACAATTCATTTTACTTTTATTTTATTCTTTATATTTATTACCACAATTATTATTATTACAATTACAATAATAATTTATTATTATTATTATTATTATTATTATTACGATTTATTTTTTTTATATGTTTCACTACATTTATTATTATTACAATTATTATTGTTTCTACTATTGAAATATTTCCTCTGCTAATTTTATGTCTAATTTTCAAAAGTTTGGAATTTTTTTTCAAAAAAAAGAGAATGAATAAAAAAAAATTGTGACATACGTTTATCGTTGTGTCTGGCCTAATGCTCTATTTTTCATGATTTCATATAAAATCAAGATGATAGGTTGTCAAAAGAAATTCTTGTTGAAAATGTTACATTTTGAGAGATATTATATTAGACATTTTACGGTGTTTCACGATTATTTTATTTTATTGCATTCTGTGTGTAATGAAAATTTATGAAATTTCAAAGACATAACTTCCCATTAGTGACTTTCTGAAATTCTCTATGGGTCTAGAGTCCTGAATATATTATTGTTTTGATTATTATTTGATGTCCGAGGGAATCGAAAATATATTCTTGGATTTTAAATGTTCCACGCTCTCGTTTCACATCAACAATATTTATTTCTATAATAATTTTAAATTATTTTCTATTTTCAATTGTGTTTTGTAGGAAAAAATTTTTTTTTTGTGTAATTTCTTTCATTTGTGTCGAATTTGAATGAATAATAAATTATAAAATATAAATTACTGTAAATGTGAATTATATTTATATATAAATACAAATTATTTATGTTTTATAATATAAATAATAATTAAATTTACATTATAAATATAATTAATAATAAATAAATTAATAAATAATTAATAATTAAATTTATATTACAAATATAATTAATAATAAATTTAATATTATTAATAATTTATAGATTATAAATTGTTTATTTATAAATTGTTTCCAATTTACAAATAATATTTTAAAATGAACAAAATTTTCAAAATTTTGTTAAAAAATAAAATTGTTTTATTTAATATTTTCTTTGACTTATTTTATCAACAAATCATTTTGATTGTATATTGTTTGTTTGATAATACAAATTTTACATATTCACTCTAATACGTAACATTAAAGCGGATATTAAATTTACAGATATATTTTATCAGTACTCGAGATTATCTTTGATTCCTTTTCTTTTCGATATTTCAGCTCAAGAAAATGTTGGAAAAACAATACTTGAAAATAAAGCGCTTTTGGAAAATGAAGTTGGACTGGAGGATAAATTAATTTTCAAAGATAATAGCAATTTGGAAAATAATATAATTTCGAAAAACGAAACTATTTCAGAAAACATAGGAATTATAGAAAGTGGAACAATTTCGAAAAATTTAACGATCCTGGAAATAAATACTGATCCAAAGAATGTAACAACTGAATCAAAAAATATAACGACTGATTCAAAGATTATAACAACTGATTCAAAGAATGTAACGACTGATTCAAACATTTTAACGACTGATTCAAAGATTTTGACGATTGATTCAAATAATGTAACAATTGACTCATTGAATATAACAATTTCCAAAAATGATGAAGTTTTTGATAGTAAAGATGCTTCGAAAAATAAAGAATTAACGAATAATGTAAACAGCCTAGTTGGTCGTATTGTTAATGGAACGGAAGCATATTTGGGACAATTTCCACAGCAGGTAATTAATTTACAAGAAAAATTCTCATAGAACTAATTATATCGAAACTAAAAAAAAATATTTTTTAGGTTTCATTAAGAAGGACAGGCAGTAAGCAGCATTTTTGTGGTGGAAGTATCGTCGGTTTGAAATATATTGTCACAGCAGCACATTGTATGTTTGTGTAAGTTACAAAATTATTAACAAAATTATTAATTTAGGGTCATTTAAGGTAAATGTAAACTTATTAAAAATTTTGACTCTCATTTCCATAAAAATAAACTAAAAATTCAAACAAAAATTTATAATTATTCCTAATTAATGCCATAACAAAAATTGACTTTGATTTTTGAATTTTGTCAACTTAGTTAATAAATAATAAAATGATTTATCCCGAGAATTTGAAATTTTTTTGTACCCCATAACATTTCTCAGGGATGCCACAAAAATTTTATTTTATTTTTCTCTGACATTTCCCTCACTTCCAGACAGAATTTTGACTTTTTCCTGAAACTAAAAAATATTCTGATTCACTCTAAAAATGATTAGAAACTCAAAAAAATGTTCGAAAATTTGCGAATTTCTTTAATTCTAAAATTATTCGAAAACAATTGTTTCTACAATTTCTAACTAAAATTCTTCTTTAAATCAATTATTCTTTAAAATAACGAAAAAATTATATTTACAAAGATTTGAATTTGAAACCTTTTCAAAATTCAATTATTTAAATACAAAAATAAATAATTTATTGAATAATTGAATGTCTCTTAAAATTGAATTTTTATGAAGAATTTTAATAACAACAATTTAAAATAATTAATTTCTTTTAAGGAATTTAGTTAAAATTTTACAAAAATTTATTGAAATAAAGAATTTTATCACAATTTTTAAAAATAATTGAAAACATTTGAAGAATTTTATTAAAATTTTTTAAAATAATTGAATTCATGAGAAGAATATAAATAATTAGTTTATGAAAATAATTGCATTCATGCAAAGAATTTTATAAAATTTTAATTAAATAATTGAAATTTTGCCAAGAATTCTGAAATTTTCGAAAATAATTCTAGAAGAGAATTTTTCAATAATTTGGAAAATAATTTGATTTCTGCAAAGTATTTCATTACTTTCCAAAACAATTGATTTCTTGTGATAAATTTTGATATTTATCAAAATAATTGAATTTTAGAAAAGAATTTTATTAAAATTCCTTAAAATAATTGATTTTATGGGAAAAATTTTGTTGTTTAACAAGATAATTGAATTCTTTTGCAGAATTTACTTAAAAGTTTTTGAAAATAATTCATTTTCTGAGACGAATTAAAAGTTATTTATAAAAATAATTGAATCATTGCAACGAATTTAATTATTTTATTATTAAATAATTGAATGTTTCTCAAACTTGAATTTTTCAATCAAGTTTTAATAAAATTTATAAAAATAATAATTGCATTTTTCGAGGAATTTATTAAAAATTGTACCTATTAAAAAGATTTGAAATTCTGCTATGAAAATAATTGAATTCCTAAATGAAATTTTATTATTTATGATAATAATTGAATGTTTTCGTAGAATTTTATCAAAAATTTTTTTCAATCATTAAATTTTTTAATAATTTTTATGAAAATTGTAAATTTTGAAAATCATTGAATTACGTAAAACTTTTTTGAAAATAATTGAAATTTTGCAAAGAATTTTATTTAAATTTTTGAAAATAATTGAATTTTTGGCAATAGTCCAATAAACTACTGTTTACCCCTACAAATAAATATATTTAATTATAATAATTTTTATTTTGCTTGTCGTTTTTTCGCTCTATTACTTTCTTCAAATTAAATAAAGAAAATTGAATAATAAAAGTATGTTTATTAAAGCGGAGATCATATGGAAATAGCAATACCACCTACGTCTATTACAATCGTAGCTGGAGATGTTCTACTGCAAGGAACTTCAATTACAACTCAAGAGAGAATAGTACAAAAAATAATAAAACACAGATATTTCAATAAAGACACTTTAGAACATGATATTGCACTTTTACAGGTAAATATAAGTTCTTCACTTTTGTATTAAGTATTAACCGATTCCTTCATTTTTAAATATTCCTAAAAATAATTGAAATAATTAAAATTATTTTAAATAAATAATTTTAAATAATTATTTTTATTCAATTAAAAATATTTTTTTTGCTCTACTATTATTTGGTTTACTTTTTCTCTTTAGTTAGAAAAACCACTTGTTGAAAATGATGCTATTCAAGTGGCAAAATTACCCACTGCTCGATCAATACCAGGAACTTTATGCGAAGTGTCAGGATGGGGTGATCCAAGTGAGGTAAATTTTTCTATTATTTAATTATTAATTTACAAAAATATTTAAATTTTAATAGTATTAATATTATTAATTATATTATTATATAATTAAAGGGTAAATTCGTCTTTTTTAGGGTAATCATGTAGTCAGCAATACATTAATGTTTGTAAGATTACCCTTGATCAATCGAACTTTATGTCGTGAATTACTTGTGAATTCATCTACGGTTCCAAATGGAATGATTTGCGCTGGTTATATTCAAGGTGAAAGAGACGCATGTCAGGTAAATTGAAAATTAAATTTTAATTACATTACTTATTTTTCTATTATTTATTCGATTATTTAATTTTTTTCTTTATTGTATTATACTAATAAAAATTATTTGATTTAAATAACCGATTACTTGTCTATTATTTAATAAATATTTACATCAAGTAAATATTTTATTTTTCAAGTAAATAATTTATGTTTAAATCAATAAAATGGTATTTGTACTAATTACTAAAATTATTTATACTAAAATTATTGGTTCAAATACAATTTAATTGACTTAAATAAAAATGATTTGGTTTAAGTAAATATTTATTTTATAATAGACAAGTAATCGGTTATTTGAATCAAATCAATTTTTTTAATTTGTAGTGATAAGTCATCCACTAATTTAAATTAGTAAAAATTTCTACTTCTTTTAGTAACTTTGCTCTAAAACTATAAATATAAGAAATTTTAAAACTAATAAATAAATAAATAGTTAAAACTAGTAACAATAGTAAAATTTTACTGAAAACTAGTGAAAATTGTCTCTAATTTAAATTTTAGTTGGACGAATTTTTACGGATCTAAATTTGAAGGGTAAATTAATCCCAAATTTGAAATAGTTAAAATTAAAAATAATTTTTTGTTAGAAAAATAGAAAATTTTTTGCCTTTGCAATTAGTGATGATTAATATTACAATTATTTTTTATCTTAAAAAATTTCTTTTAGAAAATTTTTCAACTCAGCCATTAAAACCAAACTGTTCTATAAAATTAATTAAAAATTTTAATTAAAAATAAAAAAAATATTTTTGAAAAACATTGATTCAAATTTTTTTCATTTAAATATATTATTATTATTAAATATATAGTAGGTACCTATTAAAAATTTTTTTTATTTACATAAATATTTTCAAATGTCAAATTTAAGTTGTAAATTGAAATTTAAACATAAAATTGAAATTTAAATATAAAATTGAAATTTAAACTTAAATCTTAATTTTAAATTTCAATTCAAATAATTTAATTAAAAATTTGAAAAAACAAAATTAAATTAAAAGTTTGAAAAAATAAAATTCAATTAAAAATTTAAAAAATATAATTACATGAAAAATATAATATTTACAGGGCGATTCGGGTGGTGGAATGGTGTGTAAAAATAGATTGACCGGAATCGTTTCCGGTGGAGAAGGCTGTGCACGTCCAAGAAAACCAGGAATTTACACGGATGTTTATTTCTATCGAAAATGGATAAATAGTGCAATTTTTAATTCAGAATTATCCACAAATTTTCGTTCAAATTCGAGTAATACAATATTTATAAATATATTCTGGCTAGTTGCATCATTAATTTCTGCACTTTTGCTCTCTATGTACTGTTGACTGTCACGAGTTTTTGGTGGATATTATAGAAAAAATGACTACAATATGATTTGGTAGATTTTTTTTACATTACAATTATTTAAATAATAAATTTTTACGATTTTGCTTCCTCATGAGGAAGCTTTGCATTGGTGACGATTTTCAATTTTTCAAAAGAAGATTATATGGACTCATTTTCATCTAGAACATATGTATATTCAATTATGAGCAAATGTCCAGATGTATGTGTGTATGTATGTGTGTGTGTATGTCACAAAAATTGTGTACAAATTATCTCATACAAATTTTGATGGATTGTCCTGAAATTTTGCAGGTTTATTGCAGTCATTAATACCTAAAATCTGACACAAGGATTTTCAAAAATATCCACAATTTTTTTTATACAATTTTTTTTTAAATTCAGAAAAATTTTTTTTTTGTATTTTTTGAAATAATTTTTTTATTTGTTAATATTTTTATTGATTATTCTCAAAATTACATTCCTGACAAGAAAATGAATCGATTGATGTATACAAAGTATATATTTTATCAAAATTTATAAAATTAATAAATATTTTTCTTTTTTACAAAAAATTCAAATTTTGTATTTTTTTCATAATTAATTTAATATTAATATTAATATTTTATATATTGAGGAAGCTAAATGGTCATAAAATGAACAACTTGTTTCTATTGTGACTGGTTTTTATTTATAAAAACACCTTTTCCAGATGGTGAAAATTTATTTGCAAATAATTATAATTAACCAAAATAAATAAATTTAATTGTGAATAATTACATTGAAAATGAAATTTATTTGATTCAAGTAAATATTTTCTTGATAATAGACAAGCGATCGGCTACTTCCATGAAATAAATTTCTCTTATTTGAATTAGTGACATAATTTTTCCTTTTGAATTAGTAAATTTTACCAATAAATAGTAATTTTTATTAAATTATTAGTAAAACTTTAGTAATAAATACTAATTTTTACTAATTTAAAAATAAAATTTACTTGTCTGACTTTTTGCTTTTGAAGTAGTGAATTTTACTAATAAATAATAATTTCTACTAAATTTATTAATAAATTTTACTAATTCCAAAGCAAAAAATCAGTCACTAACTTAAATTCGTAAACATTTTTACTAATAAATAGTCATTTTTATTAAATTATTAGTAAAGCTTTACTAAGAAATACTAATTTTTACTAATTTACTAGTAAAATTTACTAATTCAAAAGCAAAAAATCTTTCACTAATTCAAATCAGTAAACATTTTTACTAATTCAAATTTAGAGAGCAGTGTATAGTTAAATAGATAAATTAATTTATTAATTTATTAGCAAACAATTATAATTATCTAAATAAATTTTCTGAATTTTTAATGATAAAAATTAAGTAGAAAAATTAATTTTCTATTTTTTATTCATAAATAATCATGATTAGCTCAGAAAATTAAAACTGTGAAAAATGTTAATCAATATAATTATTGATTAACTAAATAAAATCAATTATAATAATAAACTGTTATTAAATTGGTAAATTTAATAATTTAAAAAATTGTTAACTGAAAAATTTTTTTTCTCTAAATCCTTTAAAAAGAGATTTTTAAGTATCTTCGATACTTTTTCATTTGGTTTTCCTTAAACTTGACATGTAACAAGAAAGTCTTGAAGGGACCAGAGGGAACTTAAGGGTGTTCAGACTTTTATGAGGGTGGACAGGCAATGCCCAAAAGGGATGGCGCCAAGGGGCTGTAGCCAGTATTGGCTAATTTAGATCCCCGATGCATTGCGAATTAGTCAAGTGTAAGAATCAAATTTCACATTTATCGTTATTTGGCAGGAAAGATTAATTTCCTCTATTTGTTTAAAAAGAAAAACTTGATAATTATTTTTGATTTTCCCCTACTTTTTTTTTGTTTTTGAAACAGAATTCTGACTTTTTTCTTGATCAGTATATAAAAAAAAAACTCCAAAGAAGTTCAATTATTAAAGAAAATAATTTTCAGAAGCAAAGATTAATGATATAAACCTACACGTTTTAAAAATAAAATTATTTACCGTAGCGAACTTTCCACGATTATTTGCAAAAACTTTATAAAAAATCAACTTTTTAATAGAATTTTAGAAAATTTCAATTATTTTAAACAAATTTTATTACTTTTTTATAAAAATTAATTTTTCTTTAAAATTAGAACTGAAATTTTTTGAATACTAATTTTTTCAGAATTTCAAATTAAAATAAAACTTTTCGAAATTTGAATTTTTTTTCTGAATTTAAATCAACTTAAAATTCAATTATTAATTATTATTTATTTTTTACATATAATGTTATAATTATTTTTTATAATTAAATTATTAATTAAATAACTTTAGAATTTAGATACAGTTGGAACTCTTTATAAAATTAATTCATAAAGTTAAAATTATTTGAAAATTCGATTTTTTTAAGTCTAAATAAAATTCTTTAACAAAATAATTATTGTATAATTCAATTTCACAAAATTTAAATTAGTTTCATAATTCTTTAGTAATTTTTTTTAAATTCTAATATCTTGAAACAATTGAATTACAATTTATCATAAATCTAATTTATGCAGAATTGTAAATATTTAAAACTCAAATAATTTATTAAATAAATATTTTATTATTATTAAAGTTTTAATTTGAAATTTCAAAAAATTTAGTAGAAAAACAACTACTGAAATTTAATTATTATTGAAAATTGCAACTGTTTTTAATTAAAACTTTTTAAAGTTAATTATAAATTATAAATAAAAAATTATAAATTATAATAAAATAATTTATTATAAATTTATAATAAATAATTATAAACTCCTATTAAATATAAATAATTATAGTAATTTCATTAAAGTTGAATGTTTTAAATTTTTTAATTTAATTTTTAATTTCATTAATTTAACTTAATTATTGAATTTAAATTTAATTTTTGAATCTTTTGAAATAAATGTAATAAATTCTTGAATTATTTAAAATAAGTTTAATTGTTTACAGAAAATAAAAAAAAACTAAAACAGTTTTTTAAAATTCATTTATCATTTTGATTCAAAAGTTTTCTTAAGTGAAAAAAATTCAACAAGAGTTCACAAAGTTCTTAACCTTCTTAAAAATTTTCTATCGACTCCAAAAATGAAATTTTTTGCAATTATATTAGAAATTTGATATTTTTCCAGTACTTTTAATAAAAAAATTATTTTTATTCGTATTATTATTTTTATTATTATTATTATTATTATTATTATTATTATTATTATTATTATTATTATTATTATTATTATTATTATTAATAATAACGATTATTATTATTTTTCCTTATAATATTGTTAGGTACTACTGTTATTAATATTATTTTTATTATTATTAGTATATTCAATAATTTTTTTGTTTTACACAATTTATTTGCTTTTGGAAAAAAAATTTTTTTTGTATTAAAGAATAAACCGATTTGACGTCCTTTTTTATTTCACATATAGAAAAAAACAATTTTACAGCTGAGTGCAATTCTCGTAAGCTAATTTATTTGACAAATGGCCAAGACTCGTGGTCAGTTATATGTGAAGACAGAGTACATTGAGAGAAGAATTCATTTTAGTTTGTGGTTCGTGTATAGCACGGTTGTATCCATTAATATTTCCGTATATTCCGGAATACCGGCTTAACGTCTCAGTGGTTTTACACTTTTTTTTGTTATTCTTTATTTTTTCCAAAAAAAAAGAAAACAAGAATGGGTTAAAATAAGGAGAAAAATCTTAACACTGCGAAATATTATGTGCCTAGCAAGGGATTTTATTCATTATTTTAATTAACAATTTTTTCTTAAATTGGAATTATTTTGTTTTAGAAAACTAAATATTTTGTTAAATTGGAATTAATTTGTTTTAACAAACCTAGAAAAATTTTATTTACTTTAGAAATAAAAATATTAATTATTTATTTTAATTCTAATAAGCAAATACAATTTTTCTACACTGAGGAAGCAATATATTTGAATCAAACATAATTTTCTTTGTTATACAATTGATCAAAAATTATTTTTGAATTGAACATAATAATTTTTATTCCTAAATAAGTTTGACTCGATAAAAATTACGTTTAATTCAAATATAAAATATTTTTAATTCAAACACATTTTTTTGGTTGGCTACATATTTTTGGATGAAAAAAAAAAATTTCTCCTTTTATAGTTTGTTTTTTTATAGGTGGAAAAAAGTAAATTTTACTGGTGTTTCATTGCCTTGAGTATATTACCAGTAAGTTCACGCAATTTTGTAGAAAGACTTCCGGTCGAGAAAGTTAATCTGAATGTCGTTACTCTTTGGAAGCTTTTTACGAGATTCTCAATCGATACGAGTATACCGCTTTGGAGAATTAACAAATTCCTTTTAAAAACCGCAAGTTTATCCTCGTCTTTTTAATTTCAATATCGAATAAAAATTTATTAAAGCTTCATTTCCCACTTCCCTCTCTCTCTCTCTCTCTCTTTTTTCTGCGTTGCGCGCTTTTTATATAATATCGACAGCAAAAAAGCAACTTTTAAGAGGATTTTTAAATATATTAAAACTTGAACCTTTTTCCCACTGATGCGAATTACGGATTTTAGAAGCACGAATATTGAAATAGCGAGTTAAAAACTTGCGCGAACAGGCATAAGAACATCGAGGGTTGTCTGGAGAGAGTAGATTGCATTCCTCTCACTTTTATATAAAAACTTTTTATCTAATTTTTTTTCTATCGAAGGAAAAAATTTTGCTCCCCGTAAATGTATTAAAATAAATTAATTAAAAAATTGGATTTTTAGAATTCAATTTTAAAAGTCAATATTTTTTAAATTAATTTTCAATCTGTAAAAAGAAACTTTCACCAAAAAAAAATTATCCAATTTATGCAAAACTATCGTTTTCAGGGTTGCCACAAAAACTTAACTTTGTTCTTCCCTCATTTCTAGACAAAATTCACTCTAAAATTTATTAGATACTCCAAAAAATTTTCTATTTAATTTATTTACGAATTTCTTTAATTGCAAAATTATTCAAAAACATCAA